TTATCAAGATGCTTCATAATCAGCACATCGTCAATGATTTTTTGGGTTAAGTGCTCTATCACATAGTATTGCTAATATAGAACAAGGATTTTATTATGATTGTTACCATATGTACTGCCTAAGATGTACTAGTTATATCAGGTTGCTATTGAATGTGAATATTGTGATAATCATCAATATTCAACACAAAAGTCTGATCTGAATATTTTACAAAAGCATTTTTTATGTATTTTCATGTGAATCTGAAATTTCTTTCTTCTTATGATCTATCAATCTTGATGTTATAGTTGCTCTAAGATTCACCATTGTATTCAAGCCTTCATTACTTATACCTACTGAATCTAAATAGAATGTAAGATCAAATTTAAAAGAATTAATTTTCATATTATTTAATGAAGCAAGAAGATAACAAATGAACACCATTAAATTTTTCATATAGTCTATTGTTTGTTTGTTGCGTTCAAGTAGCCAAGCTGCTAAATAAAGTTGTTCAAAAAAATCCTTCAAGCTTGGTTCAATTTCCTGAAGTAATCTCCGCATTTTATCAAATTCATATATAAAACCTTCTTTCCTCAAATGCTTTCTTTCATAAAAGATATTTGCCATCACTTTGATGGCTTTAGTAAGATCAATCTTCATACTTTCCTCCTCATGTGTAATATCTTCGTTCATAGTTTTTACTCGTTTGGGACCTTTTTTTAGTGGATTTTCTACAAAATTTATGTAACAAACATTACATAAAATAATACCTTCCTTCCATGTTATCTTCACTAGATCATTATTCTTAGCTTTTCTCCACTTTTCTCCCTTTAATGAACAAAATTTGGTTGACTTAGTAGTTTGGCATTCTCCACAATGCTTCGTCTCTGACATATTTTTAATAGGTAAATAGAAATGTAAAGGTGCGGGATTAACGGGGATTAAATAAATATATTGTAGAGCAGCACGAATACTTCAAGTTTGCTTAATGAACTTTGTTCACGATTTCAATGTAATATGTGTAATAAAGACCCCTGTCGATCGTATTTTAAACTGTGTAAAAAAAATTTTTTGATAAATTGTTTAACCGCTTTCCTTATTTGGAATGGTCCCACCTGAAGGTACGGTACGATTCAAATTTCGCGAAAAATACTGATCTGCATAATCGTACCGTAATGGTCTGGCGAATCGTACCGATATACTCCCGTCAAAATACCTATTATAATTCTAAAGTTTAAAGATTGGGAAGGTTTAACTTTTGAGAAAAACGAAAATATATCAGTTCTATATTTATCACCTGACTGGTGGGAAGCAGATTTTGGTGAAGTTTAGCCCATCAAAAAACATTAGTTGGAGAAAAAATTTCATTACTTGGGAAGCTAATGAGTTGTAAGAAAGGAATTATACATAACAATAATACAATAAAGCTTCAATTTACCCATAAAATTACACTTCATAGTCACACGATAAACTTTTTATATATAAACCTTTTTTTGTTAAAATTTGAAAAAGTGACCTGGCCGGGTGACATGAACCGAAAAATCGAAGTTGCAAGGCCTAAGCATCTTTTGCATATTAGACTTGCTACAAATTTATTTACTTTTAAGAAAAATGTTTTATAATATCTGTTAAGCTTTTATTCACTTTAACCTTTATCGTAATTTCAGGCATAGTGTAAATTTAAAAGTTTTTTTCAAATTTATTGAACAAAGTTTATTATAATTTCCAAATAATCATTTCATTTTTTTTTTTTATTTCTTACGTTAGCAAGACTTCGTTCCTTGACTTTTAAATATTATATTAGTTATTTTTTATTTTTTAGTAATTCAAATTTTTGTAGGGTATAATTTTTTTTTTATAAAAAGTATTACATTAAAATTAATAAAATTCAATTAAAGATGTCGTAATTTTTAATATTTCGTATTAATAAATTAACTTTTAAATCTAGTTTAATCAAATCGGGAAAGACTAAGAAAAAAATTCTTTTTTTTTGAAGGCGCTTGACGTAGTGTAACATTTGCCTTGTATACAGTGGGGAGAGACAAAAATCACAAGAATGTCAAAAAATATTTATATTGATTGGTTAAATGATTTTATTGCTAATGATCATATTAAATGCTACGAATACTCTGAATATAAAGGTAAACAACATATAGAGAATGGTGCATATGGAAAAGTTTGTAGTGTTAATTGGAAAAATAAAAGTGTTTTCGCCTTGAAATCCTTTAATAATCCTCGAGAGATCATCAAAGAAATTGTGGAAGAGGTACAATATTCTATAATTATTTTAAATAATAAATAACATATACATTAAATACTTGTTTTATATTTGTAATACAGCTTAAACTGCATCAGAAAGTTAGTTATCATGAAAATATTATACGGTTATATGGAATCACAATGGAGGAACCTAGTCAGTAATAGAAACATGTAGTTATAGGATTTTATGACTATTCTTTTTTTATTATTTTAATTTATAAAATAACCTTTATATTCAGATGTGTACTCTTTAGTCTTGCAATATGCGGTTAGCGGCACATTAATAGATTATCTAAATAAGCATTTCAGTGAACTTAATTGGGATGACAAATACCAATTAGCACTTCAACTGACAGGTGCTGTAGGATTTTTGCATGAAGAAAATATTATTCATCGTGATCTGGTAATATAATTTTTCCTATTCTAACAGCTTTGCTAAATATGCAATATACTTATGCATCAGAAAATTATTAAATTAGCAGACTTTGGTTTATCAAGAAGAATTACGGAAGCTTCAAGTAATGAATTAAATATATTTGGTGTGATACCTTATATGGACCCAAAATGTTTGGAGAATAATGTTACAGAAAAAATAAAATGTCTGATGTTTATAGCGTCGGAGTACTTATGTGGAAAATTTCAAGTGGACGTGCACCATTTGATAGTTATGGTAATTATGATGTAAATTTAAGCATCAATATAGTCCACGGATTAAGAGAAGAAATTGTTCCAGGAACTCCTATCAAATATAGTAAATTATATGAAGGTAAATGAAGATATTTTTATTTTTAAAATTAAAAAGAATTAATTTTTATTATTTCACGTATATGATTAGAATGTTGGAAAAATGAACCAGATGCACGACCAAATATACAGGAAGTTTTTTTAACTCTTAAAACAATAATTGATAATATTATGAAGTTGAAAGTAATAGTAATGAATCTAAACTAAATATAACTGTTAATTGTGATTCCAAGCTCGATGATTTAGAAATTGGCAATTGTGTAATACAAATAATTTAAATCAAATGGGTGGAAGTGTAACTGATGTCAAGCAATTTGTCTCAGAAGTAATCAATGCCGATGATAGCGATGAAGAACTCATGGAACCAGTAATTAATGAGACCGCATTAGCTATAAATACATGGAAACCGTATGCGACGACTTAATAGAACCAATTGCACCATTTGTAAGTTTTTTACCACCTATAAAGGAAGTAACCCAATTATTTAACGAGATATTTAATATATTTCAAACAGCTGAACATAATAGAAAAATATGTGGGATATTTTTGGATAGAGTTCAAATAACTGATACTGCCGTAAGGAATTTAAAAAATCGTCGAGATGAAAATGTAGAATGTTTTTCAACAAATAACCTCCTTCATTTACAAACATTGATTAACGTTATTGGTAAAATTCGTAAAATTGTTGGAGAAATTTCTCAATTGGCAGGCTTACACAAGTATATTCAAGCTAACAACATTGAAGATAGCGCTAAAGAATTAAGCAATGAATTTGATTCCAAGATACAAACATTGTAGTTTTCTTTGGCGGTTGATTTTAGTATCAATGCTGATAAAGTAGCTAAGGATCAAGATGATATTCTATCTGATATTAAAGATTTGCTACAGGTAATGTGTAATATGCATCAATTTATTTTCATGAATTGAATGAATTGAATATAAGTAACTTCATTTACAACATCATTTAGTATCTTAAAAATATCGGCAGTGGTGTTACTGACGAGAATCAAAACGTCTCGCAAGAAATAGTTCCATTGAGCGCACTTAACAAAAGGTTGAACGATGATCATAAATCAGTAAATACTGATATTTTCAAAAATGAATTACTCGATTACAATGATTTTGAAGAACAACAACTTAAAGATAATCATAGTATAATAAAAATTAGAGAAGAAAAAATGGATCGAATGATTTTGTTGCATTAAAGTTGGTTGCCGATAAAAATAGCAGTAAATTAGATAAGTTTATAAAACAAGTTATAATTTTAAAAAAATTGGTATCATGTGAGTTTATTATTCAATACTTTGGTTTAACGGTTAATAATGATAGTGACTGAATGGGCCGAGTATGGCAATTTACGTGAATATTATCAAACTTATTCACTTGATGATAAGCAGAAGTTAAATTTTGCTCTTGACATTGCCAAAGGCTTAAATTTCTTGAGCGCCGTAAAGGTATTTTTTTTTTTTTTGAAAAAAAAATAACAAATAATTTCCCTCTCTCAAAATAAATTCCTAATTTTTAGAGAAATCATTTTTTGTTTTTGGGGTAAAAACAGATCGTTCATCGTGATATTAGAGCCGAGAATATCTTAGTCACCGATCGGAATTTGGCCAAGTTTGCAAATTTTGAAGCAAGTCGAGCAACTACGGATGGTACAGGAAATCAAGCTGCAACACTAGAAGCTGTGCGTTACTGCGCTCCAGAAAAATTGAAAAAAGGGTCGTCATATAAATATGACACCAAAAGTGAAGTTTATAGTTTTGGTATACTGCTTTGGGAAATTGCCGAAAAGAAAATTCCTTACAAGAATGGTAAGGATATCATTAAAATTACCGAGCTAGTTTGCAAAAAACAATATCGTGAACCATTTTCTCTTGGTTCTCAATTACCAAAAGAATATCAAGAACTTGCAAAAATAAGTATTAGAATATTATATATATTTGTTTTTTTCATACACCTATGGCACTTTGTATTAAAATTTATTATTATAAATTACTCTAGCTGTTGATTTTAATATGCAACCACCAGCACCAAGACTTAAGCCAACGATTGTAGAAACTACCTCAAAAGAAAAAGAAACAATTATAATAAATTTCTCAACCGAAGGTATATTATGCAATTGTAAAATATTTTTTAATATATAATAGATTTAAAATTTTATATTAATCATTTTACGGAATTTGAATTTTAAGTTTGTTTAGGTATATCCAATTTTCAAAATTTTTTTTTTCAGAGTTATCTTTATATCATAAAATTTTGAAGATTTATGAATATTAAAACTTAATTTATAATAGGCTTTTTTTCTTTATTTATCTAAAAAACAGGCGACGAATGGCTCGGTAAAACCCAGAATTACCTGCCAATTATACCTTATCATGCTCCCATATCATCGAAAGAGGAATTGGGAAATGAAGACGTAAAAATATATTCAAAAGATAGTATTGATATTTTAATTGATAAATTAATCATATTTTTGATTAAAATACAAAATGAAGGTAAAGGTTTTGACGAAACGAAGCATTTAATTAAGGAAAACATTGCTCTTTCAACTCGTTCAATAAATGACATTTTTAATTGGCTTAAAGAAACACAATACGAATCAAAATGTGTTTTTTTCATTGGAATTTTTGATTATTACAGTATACTCAATTTAAAAGAAAATATTGGTGAAGGATATACTTGTTTCTTAAAAACTGCAGATATTTTTCCAATTGCACAACTATATTTGGTATATGCTATAAAAAAGGATTTGAGACTAAAATCAATAATAAATTTGCATTTTATTGGATTCAAAAGGCAGCAGAAAATGGAAAAATTTGCGCACAATATGAACTTTCAGATTCATATTATTCATGGAGAAGAATTAAAAAGAATTTAGAAATGCTTTTTATTGGTGTAAACAAGCTGCAAAAAATAAACATACTATTGCACAATTAAATCTAGCAAGTTCATATTTTAAAGGTGAAGGTACGGAAAGAATTTTGAAAAGGCCTTTTATTGGTATCAAAAGGCGGCAGAAAACGGAAATAATCATGCACAATATAATTTAGGTTTGCATTATCAAAATGGATGGGGATTGAAAAGGATGAAGCCAAAGCTTTTGAATGATATACAAAATTAGCTAATCAAGGCCACAGCGATGCACAAAATTATTTAGGATTCTTTTATAAAAATGGTATATTCATACAACAGGATTTAAGAAAAGCTTTTTATTGGTATCAGCAAGCGGCGAAAAATGGTAATAAAGTTGCACAATTTAATTTAGGTAATTTTTATAGATATGGGTTATGAATCGACAAGGATGAAGGTAAAGCATTTGAATGGTATAAAGAATTAGCTAGAAATATAACAAATTTTTATTAGAAACGATGAATTAATAGGTATGTAAAATTATCTATTTGTTAGTACATATATCTTATCTTAAACTAAAGAATTCTATTGTTTATGATTACTTTACGAATGATTGAATGTAGAATTTTTGAAGAAAAGTATAAACGAAATAGCTGATGAACATATAAATACCGTTTTAATTGTTTTCAGCTAAATAATCCAACTGTTAATATTAGTAGCGATAAGTCAAATGTTTGGAATGATGCAACTTGTGATGTCATTTTAGAGTTTATTTCGGTAAAATCAACTATTTCTTCTGGAGTCGATGTTACTTCATATATTGTAGTTGAAAAGTTACAGAAATTACTCATTAGTCGAAAAGATGATATCGATCATACGGGCTTTTTGCAGCAGAAAGGGAGGAAACTACCAAAAAAAAATTTTTTTGAGTTAATGTTAAATCTGGATTTATTTTACTAAAAAAATAATATTTAGCTTAGAAAGTAAAAAAAAAAAATTTTTTTGGTAGTTTCCTCCCTTTTCATTGCAAAGCGCCCATATATTAGAATCGCAGCCTGTGTATGCTATAGGAATCGACTTCCAAAAGGATTCTTCTAGACCATGCATTGCCTGTTGGGTTGTTAGACCTCTTGATAATCCAATTCTAGAATGTCTTGAAACTATGCTTGAGGATCAGTATGAAGTTATAAACCAAATACTGATATTTGAAGATAATGAAGATAGTAATGATGATCAGAATTCAAGTAATAAGTCAGCTGATTACAATGATAATAATAGTGGTAATAGTAATAGTAATGATGATAGTAATAATAGTAATAGTAATAGAGGTAATGACAATAATAATAATAGTAATGGTAGCAGATGGATTGTAATACATCAATAATAGGTAATATTAAGTATTACTATTATTTCCTGCATGATCTCTGGAGAGAATCAAGGCTTCATCAAGCAAAGCTTAGAGAAAAATTTCCCAGGCATCATTAATATCTCTATCTATTTTTATATTGCAATTTTTGCATTTATATATTTTTGACTCTCCAATATTCTGAATATTTCCACACCAACTACATGTTTTTGACATATAAGCTTCATTTTGAATTATCATATAGTTTTCTTTCTCTTCTGCTTTTAAAATCAAACATTGTTAAAACTTGTAACTACTAAATAAAAATAACAAAATAGTTTTAAAATATCATGTTAAAATTATTAAAGCAAAAATTAAAATTATAATATTTGATTAATTAAAACTTCTATTAAGATAAATCTATCAATTATATTACTATTAACCAGTTAGTCAACTGGTTAGTTAAAATTAATTAGTTAATCAGTTAAAAGTTTTTAATTACTATTAAATGACTATAATTAACCATTATCATTCTAATTATATTAATAAAATTATTATAAATAAAAATAGTTTCTATAATTATTTTTAAATTTCAATTGAATTGCAATTTAATTGCACCTAAGTTATAACATAATTATACTATTTTATTAATTATAATATTAATATTTAATTATAATATTTTAATCATTATTGTATTAATATAAATCATATATTTATTACTAATATAATTTAAAATACTAGTATCATATAAATTAAAAAAAAATAAATATTTCTTTAAAAAATAAAATTTACTGAAAATTTGCTATAAACTTGCTAAAGTTCATACTAAAATTACTTTATAATACATTTTAATTTAAATTTTAATAATTTATTTATTAAGCATAATTTAATATATATAATATATTAATTTATTTAATTTATTTTATAATATTATTTAATTATTTTTTAACTAATAAATTATATTTTTATTAATTTCTAAATTAAGTAATAGTTATTTTATAAAAAAATTGAACTTGAATTAATACTCAAATACATAATACTTAAATACTAACTTAAATCAGATGCTCAAATCCTATATTCAAATTCTGATTTAAATTTTAATTCAAATATTCTTTTAATTAAAGTTTTAATTTTATTTGATTTACATTAATTTTTTGATTCAAGTCTAATGGTTATAAATAATAAAAAATAAAAAAAGTATTTGTTTAATAATTTTTTAATTAATATAAATATAAATAAAAGCTAATATTAATATTTTTTTAATAAAAATAATTAAAATCATAATAAAGAATAGCTATATTATAAATATTATTTTAATTAAATATTATAAAATATAATGCAAAGAAAATATTAATTAAATATTATATTATATGATTAATATATATTTATGCATATCAAATTATATTATATATTATTAATTATATAATATTAGTAATATTATTATCAATAATATAAAATAATTCTAATTAAAATTTAATTTATTTATAATAATTATTAATAATTATATGTTTAAAAATTCATATTTTAATTAAATTAATTATTATAGTTTAATTTATATATAAAAATTTATTTGTGTAATTACAAACTGTATTATTATAGTATTTATTCTATATACAGTATTACTAAATAAATATTTTATAATATTATAATAATATAATATAATTATAAAAGAAAAAAAAAAATATTTAATAAAAATTTTTATCTATTATTAAAATATATTAATATAAATAATTAAAAAATATAAATCTAATATTATAATATATTAATATA